TATGAAACTGAGGGTCAGAGAGGTTGAGAACCCTGCCCAAGGTCACATACCTAGGAAATGGTAGAGATGGGATTCCAGCCTGATTTTCCCTTACTCCAGAACATAGACTTCTGAGACAGAGTCTCACTTTGTTGCCCAGGCTAGAGTGAGTGTCGTGGTATTAGCCTAGCTCACAGCAACCTCTATCTCCTGGGCTCAAGCAATCCTACTGCCTCAGCCTCCCGAGTAGCTGGGACTACAGGCATGTGCCACCATGCCCGACTAATTTTTTCTATATATATTAGTTGGCCAATTAATTTCTTTCTATTTATAGTAAAGACGGGGTCTCGCTCTTGCTCAGGCTGGTTTTGAACTCCTGACCTCAAGCAATCCGCCTGCCTCCGCCTCCCAGAGTGCTAGGATTACAGGCATGAGCCATCGCACCCGGCCCAGAACATAGACTCTTAACCACTAAATCTAATGTAGAGAAGTAGAAGGAAATGGGGTTGGAAAAGAAGATTGGGTACACACCACAGACAGCCTTAAATACCCTACAAAGGAATTTGAACTTTATTCTGTATACAGTTGGGAACAACAAATGGCTTCTGAGCCCAAAAGTGATGCAATCATTGTGACACATTAGGAAGGCTACTCAGGAGACAGAGCAGAACACTGTGCCTGGAGGCTGGGATTCTGGCCAGGAGGCTGTCGCCATTGCCCAGGTGAAAAGTGCCAAGGACCTGCTTGGTGGCAGTGAGACAGAGAGAAGAGAGCAGATGGGGTGACATTTCAGAAGTAGAGTTGACAGGATGAAGGGCCTGACTGGCTGTGAACAGTGGCTGGGGATGCCATTGACCAAAGTGACAACAGCCAGGGATACAGTAAGACTGCCCAACAAGCGCTTGGAGTCAAGGGACTGAAACCATCAGAGTTAGTGAGGAAGTGGACAAGTTGTCAACATGGAATTGATAATTAAATCCATAAATGTAAGGTCAGGATCAAAGTGCAGAGAAGGAGGCCCAAGGCGGGTCACCATATCCCTGACTCCATTCAAATGAATTTTCCCACTCCTGTGCCCAGTCCAGGCTCCTTGTCAGCCCAAGGTTGTGTCCTCCAAAGAGCAGAGCACCCCATCATCAGGCAGATGTGGCTGTCATTTGCTGCCCCTCTCCCCTTCATTCCTGCAGCATTGACAGTCTCATCCTTTTCCCTATCCCCAACCCCCAGGGACACACTCAGGACACCAACACCTACTTTTTGTGCCGGACACTGCGCTCCCTAGGGGTCCAGGTTTGCCGAGTTTCCGTTGTACCTGATGAGGTAGCCACCATTGCAGCTGAGGTTACCTCTTTCTCCAGCCGCTTCACCCATGTCCTCACAGCAGGGGGCATCGGCCCCACTCATGATGATGTGACCTTTGAGGCAGTGGCAAAGGCCTTTGGGGATGAGCTGAAGCCACACCCTGAGCTGGAAGCAGCCACCAAAGCCCTAGGAGGGGAGGGCTTGGAGAAGCTGTCGCTGGTGCCCTCCTCTGCCCGCCTGCATTATGGCACAGATCCTCGCACTGGCCGCCCCTTCAGATTCCCGCTGGTCTCCGTCCGAAACGTCTACCTCTTCCCGGGCATTCCGGAGCTGCTGCAGCGAGTACTGGAGGGGCTGAAGGGACTGTTCCAAAACACAGCTGTTCAGTTCCACTCCAGGGAGCTGTATGTGGCTGCTAATGAGGCCTCTATCGCCTCCATCCTGGCTGAGGCCCAGACCCACTTTGGGCATAGGCTTAGCCTGGGTTCCTACCCTGACTGGGGCAGCAACTACTATCAGGTGAAGCTGACTCTAGACTCGGAGGAAGAAGGGCCCCTGGAGGAATGCATGGCCTACCTGACTGCCCGTCTGCCCCAGGGATCACTGATCCCCTACATGCCCAACACCGTGGAGCAGGCCAGTGAGGCTGTATACAAACTTGCTGAATCAGGTAGGGGGCTACTGGGGGAGGGGCAGCATGCACCAGGCCATTGGTCTCAGTCCTGCAGGGGCTGTGGAGGCATCCCACAAATCCAGAAGTGGGTAGAGGATAGCTACTATTGATTGGTTCATTATTCCAATAAATACTGAGTACCTACTTTTACCATCACTGTGCTAGGTGTTGAGAATATGGCTTAATAGAAGAACATATGTCCTGCTTTTATGGACTAGTGGTTTAACAAGAGAGGCAGACATTCCACAGGTGCTCCTGCATGGAGTGATGAAGAGAGTGAGCTCCCACATCAGGGAGCCCAGCCTTGAGCTGGGGTGAGAGAAAGCTTCTCTGGCCAAATGATATATAAGCTGAGTGATTAGGAGGATTTGTTCAGACCAGGAGGTGGGTAAGAGTAAACAGTATGAAAGAGGGCCAGGACACCCCACCCCCCACGTCTCCCCAGATCTGCTGCTCCAGAGGAAAGACATTGAGGGCAAAGTCGGCGAGATGTGGCAGGCCCTGCGGAGCCTAGCAGGCAGCATAAAGGAGTTTGTACTTTATCTTGGGAACACTGGGAATATATGGAAGGGTTTTAAGAAAGGGCAACATGGCCCCTACTCCTCTTTGATGACCACATGTATCTATCTGATGCCCTCTTCCCTGCCTGCATGGCAGGGTCTTCTCTGGGGAAAAAGGTGGCAAGTGCCCTACAGACCATTGAGACTGCCCTGGCTCGATACAATCTCACCCAACTTTGTGTGGGCTTCAACGGGGGCAAGGACTGCACTGCCCTCCTGCACCTTTTCCACGCAGCTGTGCAGAGGTGAGCCTGCACCGAGCGATGAAGAGAGTGAGGCAAAGACCCCAGAGGTACCTTAGCTGGCCAATTCTCCAGTTCCCCACCCCAGAGAGGAGGGAGAAAGGGAGTATGTGGGTAGAGTTTAAGAGGGAGGGAGCCATGGTGACCTCTCAGTTCCATTCCTTTAGCATATTTATTGAGCATCTGACACGTGCCTGGCCCTGAGCATGGATGTGCAGGCCACCATCCCTGACCACAGGGAGGTCACAGTCCTGTTGGGGAGGTGAGATTTACATACATGAAACAGATTTGGGAGGTGAGAGTTCAGAGTGGGCTTCTTAGAGGAAGTGGGTATGATGGATGGAAAGGGGAGAAGGGTAGGGTATCTGTCCCTGGGGCCAAAGAGAATAGTGAGCTTTCTGGAGTACTTCCCTGTCCATGCTGGCAAGCCTGTGGATTCTTCCCCCTCCCCAGGAAATTCCCTGATGTTCCAAAACCCCTCCAGATCCTGTATATCCGTGGTATCTCCCCTTTCCCTGAGCTGGAGCAGTTTCTACAGGACACCATCAAGAGGTACTAGGGGCCTGGAGGTTTGGGCTCCAAATGGGACTTGGTAGGGCCCATGCCTGACCCCTTCTTCTATTCCTTCCTAAGATATAATTTGCAGGTGTTGGAGGCTGAGGGCAACATGAAGCAGGCTCTGTGTGAGCTACAGGCACAGCACCCCCAGCTGGAGGCTGTCCTGATGGGCACCCGCCGGACTGACCCCTACTCCTGTAGCCTCTGCCCTTTCAGTCCCACCGACCCAGGCTGGCCTTCATTTATGCGCATCAACCCGCTGCTGGTAATGGGAAAGAGGATTTATTGCCTTCAGTCCCACATGCCTGTCAATCATTGCACCCTGGCTCCCCCAGGGGTAGGGGTAGGGGGATGTTAGCAATCATCCTGTGCTTGGATGAGGGGCCCTATCATCCAAGGGAGGCAGTGTTATTTGTTGATTCATCCTTTTGACCAATATTTATTGAGCCGTAATTCAGTGGGAGGCATTGTGCTTTCTGCTGTGTGCTGTCCAATATGATAGCCACAAGCCATTTATTTATACTTTAAGTAAATAAAATGCAAATTACTAAAAACCACTGAATTATATACTTTTAAAGGGATGAGTTTTATATATGGCATGTGCATTATATCTCGGTTTTTTGTTTTGGTTTGTTTTAAATATTGAGATGGGGTTTTACTATTTTACCCAGGCTGGTCTCAAACTCCTGGGCTCAAACAACCTTCCTGCCCCAGCCTCCTGAGTAACTGGGACTATAGGCGTATGCCACCATGCTTGGCTCAATTTTAAAAATTAAATACAATTAAAAATTCATCTCTTGTTATCTAGACATTTTAAATAAATTTCAGTTCTTCAGTGGTACTAGCCACATTTCACGTGACTACCCTATTAGACAGCACAGACATACAATGTTTCCATCATGACAGAAAGTTCACTGGACAGCACTGGCTTAGAAAGACACAGGTCCCTCCCTCTCCTCCTTGAGCTTATACTCCACTGGAGGGTAGGTGGGGAATGGAGAGGGGAGAGGATGAAGGCCTTCCCTGCTTAGCCTACAGGGAGCAAGATATACCAGAGAATCCAATAGCAAGCCCTCCCTCAGAGGCTAAGGGAGCAGAAGAGCCTAGGATGGGCCCCTTCCCAGAATGGCAGAGGTAGGTGTGGGAGAGGGGAGCATTCATGACTATTCTATGACTCTGATTTCCTAGGACTGGACCTACAGAGACATCTGGGATTTTCTGCGTCAGCTCTTTGTCCCATACTGTATCCTGTATGACCGAGGGTAAAGGTGTTAGGGGAAGAGAATGGGTATGGGGAGGACAAGAGGGTGCTGGGATAGGGAAAGCCACCACAAGAGCCCATCCCACCACACACTTGCCCACCATTGTCCCTGCTCCAGGTACACATCACTGGGGAGTCAGGAGAACACAGTGCGGAACCCCGCCCTGAAGTGCCTGAGCCCAGGAGGACGGCTCACCTACCGGCCAGCCTACCTACTGGAGAATGAAGATGAGGAGCGGAACTCCCGAATGTGACCTTTCACCCCAGGAGGGAGGGAAGAAGGCTGTCCTAGGTGTAACTGTCAATAAACCGTGCCTCTCACTGTGCCTTTTGCTCTGGCTGTGTCTTCTGGCTCAAAAGTGGGCCAAACGCTGCCAGCTCTGAGCTAGCTGTGCTCACTTGGAGAAGCCAGGGTAGGGCAGAACAGGCTGGAAAGGAGCGCTCATTGATGATTCTCAGCAGAAGCCCACTAGAGGGCAGAAGCGGGAGTTGTGCCAACCACTGGGAAAGGGGCAACCAGGCAGGGCACCACCCCTGCTGGAGGAAGGGACGCTGAGTTGGCCTGGCTGTGGAGGATGAAAGATGGAGTGGCCAGGCCCTCCCCCTACTAACCTCAGCCCTCATCCCTGTCTATAGGGGCTGACTCAGCCCATCCCAGGCCTAGAACCTTCCCTTTGCTAGACCCTGGGGCCTTTTGTCTTTGTAGTCATGAGGCCTGAGGGGGGTGGGGACAGTGTTGATAAAAGGCACCAAAGGCAGCTCCCACACCCTCCCTCAGAACTGCTGCCGGCATGCAGCCCCAGCCCCGGACACAGCCCCTAGCCCAAGCCCTACCCTTCTCCCTTGGAGGGGCCCTGCGAGACACCGGGCTCCGGCTGCCTGTCTTTAAGATGGGCACAGGGTGGGAGGGCTTGCAGCAGACCCTGAAGGAAATCGCTTACATCCTCCTCTGCTGCTGGTGTATCAAGGAACTGCTGGATTAATGGCGACAGGAACTGCCTCCTCTCCCCACTGGCACCATGGCTGGCATCACTCAGGTGGGCAGGGTAGGGCAAACCAACAGGAGGCAAGGATGCAGCTTCTGCAGCAGAACTTGCCTCTCAACTTCCCATTCTCTTCTTTAGCACCCAGCCAACCCCCATCAAGACGCCTGGGGCCAGCTGTGCCTGACCAAGGATGGGCCACAAGAGTGAAGAGTGAAGTGTGGATCCTGCTTTGAGTTGTGCCATCTGTCAGGCCTGCCTCATCTCTGAGCCTCCATTCCCAGCCCCCACCTCCGGGGAACCTCTGGTAGGCAGGAGCTTGGCCTGCTGGCCAGGACCCCAATAAGATGGCAGCAGGACCTGGTATTCCTCCAAGCCTGGCACAGTGAGCCCACCAGTCCAGATGGTTGATCTTACCATACTCTCAGTACCAGAAATGGACCACTCCCTAAGATATCTGTTTGAGAATCACTGAATTTACATGCAATAAATAGGCCTTGAGGCCAAAAGTTCTCAATGTCTAAAAGGGAATTAGAAAAAGCACTGGAAGGGTCTTGGAGCCAGGATGCAGACCACGGAGGGAAGGAGCTTGTCCTGCATAGAACTGAGATTGAAAACCAGGTTTTCTGACACTGGTGCCTGGGTGGGGAGGGTAGAGGGCAGAAAGTCCAGGTTGCTCCTAACCTGTGGGTAGGGAGATATCCAGCTTTGGTGAGGTCTTCTAATGTGAGGCCCAGGGTGTTGAGATGGAACCCAAAGGACCCAGCCCTTTCCCAAATAGAAAACCAGGTCTAGGCAGCTCCTTGCCTCTGAGGATCTTGGGAAAAGCACAAAGCTGATACTGGTCTGCAGCTCATGGAGGAAATAGAGCACCATGAGCTACAAGAGCTCTCAGCTTTTAACAAAGTTAAAAGAGAAAGGCGCCTTGTCCCTGAGGCTTATCACAGCACAGGCCTATCAGGACCTAAACAGCCCAGCTGAGCAGAATTCATTCCTCACTTTGCCTTAGTAGCCACCACTACCTGCTTCCCCCGAATTACCCCAGTGGTGTGTACACATCAGCTGTGTATATCATCTTGCTCATGCTTACTGCTGTTTCCAGCCACAGCCCCCAAGCCTCAGAGCCAGCCATGGGACTTATTTAGCATTATCCTGGGGTCCCCATCTAGCATTCTCTGATCCCTCTTGGGGCTCAGTTATTGACTTCCAACCCTTTCTCACTGGAGCACCAGCCTAGAGGTAATGTATGGGTCCCTCTCTTACCCTCCCTGAGACCAGCTCTTCCTTAGCCTTCTTAGTTAACTCCTTTCTCTCTGGCTTCTTTTTGTAAAGTAACATATGCCTAGAGTATAGAATTCTAATAGCAAAAAGTAAGTCTTCACAGCTTTCCTCAACCTCCCAGCTTTCCTCACTGGAGGTAACCATGATTACCAGTTTCTCAGAGAGCATCATAGAAATGGTCTGTGCATAGAATGCATCTTCATTCATTCATGCAACAAATACTGAGTGTGTACTATAAGCCAGTCTGGGTGATTTGAATACAGCAGTGAAAAAAATAGGTCTTTATAGTTATGGGCTTACATTCTAGTGGGTAGAGACAGAAGATAAACTATAAACATTTTTTTTAAGTATACAGATGTTATTAGGTAATAGGTAGCCTAGAAAAAAGAAAAAGTTGAGTGGGGACAGGTCATGAGAGTCTAAATAAGAACCTGAGCTTTTATGCTGAGTGAAATGAGGAACTATTGCAGGATGTTGAGCATGAAATGATTTTTTTTTTATTTAAAAGGCTCACACTGGCTGCTGTATTGAGAATAAACTTTAGGGGAACAAGGGTAGAATATGAGACACACATTAGAAGGTAATGGGCACCATATCCACCAGACACATTGGTGGCTCAGGCCATGCTTATAGACACAACAGTAGTGAGAAGTGGTTGGACTCTGGACATACTTATTCTTCCCAGTTGGTTAACATACTCTACACACTGCTCTGCACCTTGAGCAGGATTCAGGATTCCACATTAGTACATTTAGAGCCTGTCCATTCTTTTTTACAGCAGCTTAGTACTCTGTAGTACTCTGATTTGAGATTATTTCTTATTCCTGGCAACTCAGTGCTCCCTCTTTAGGCATTCACAAAAACCAGGTCAGTGCTCTTGCCTGGTCCCTTCAGAGCACTCACACTTGCCTTGGGCACAGCAGTAAGGGGGAAGGTCCTGAAGCCAACCAGGGAGAGGTTAGTGATCAAGGTAGTCACAAAATTCACCTTCCCATCTGAATGTGGGGCTCCTCTCTCCCCCTCCTAGCCTGCACCCTGCTTGGCCACCTCAAGCCCTTCCCTGATTCAGGTCCTGGCATACTGCCTTCTTTTCTTTTCTTAGACTCCACTCCCACCAGGCTGGACAGTGCCTGGAGGTGGCTCCTGAGCCTGAGGTCTGGGCACAAGGGCCTTTGCCGAGGAAGGGGATTTCTGGCAAAGACCACTGGGGAAGTAGTGGGTGGAAGAAGGCAGAGCACAGGGCTGTGGCCTGTGGTGAGATGGGTTGGTGGAGAGCTGGAGGGGGCAGAGACTGCCAGTGGCCCAAGGAAAGTATCAGAGTGAGAAAGAGCATTGACAGTGGAAAGACTAGGGAGAGGGATGAGAACAACAAAAAACTCATATACCATTCTGAGGGCCCTTTCCACACTACAGAATGCTTTGAGCCTCACAAAAGTCTGCTTCAAAAGTAGGCAGGACAAGTAATTATCCCACGGTAATGTGAAGGAAACATGCCCAGAGAGGTGAAGTGATGTGTCCAAGATCATACACACAGCACACTGCAATGTAGTATTTAGTGAACCCAGATTTTCAGATCTCAAATTAAGAGTTTCTCCTTATAGCCTGCCTTCCTCTTCTGAATTGGTGTTTGTATAGGGATAATGGCCTAAAGTGGCTTGGGAGGCAAAGCCACAAAAGCAAAGGTGTAAACAGATACCACTCCCTCATTCTTCACTCACCCATTCCATGATGTGCCACTTTCCCACCTCTATTCTAAGCTCCCCTTGTCCTTGGTCTCTTAGCTCATTTGGGGGTCCCAGCTACAGCCTTTTCACCCAATCCACACAGGCCAGACCTTTTCTGGCCCACAGTTCCCCACTCATCTAAAAGGGGGAAAAATGTGATGATTTCCCCACAAGTTTCTCTCCCCAACTAGAGCAACTCAGGTTTTGAGCGTCCAAACTACTCCCTCGGTAGCTCACCTGGGGTTGGGGAGACAGAGAAGGGAGAGCAGGGTGCCAAGATAGAGAGGGATGGGTAAGACCTCACCTACCCCTTGGTGCCCCGAGACCTCTAGTGGCCACAAAGGGTAAGGGACTGGGTGGGGTAGGAATGGAAGAGACAAGGTGGATGTGCTGAGTGACGACCCCCAAGTACGACAGCAAGGCCTGATATCCAGGATTCCTGGTGGATTTCATCCGATAGAGCACCCTCGGTGGCATGTGAGAAGCAAGGGGAAGAGACGAGTTAAGACTAAGGGGTCTGAGAAGCTGTGTGCAGTAAATAAACTGGATATCATAGGAATACTCTCAGGAGGGTCCCACGTTTTCCCAGCAACACGAAGAAGCGGACGAAAAGTGAATGTGGCGATCATTTTACTGCAGGCGCCAGAGCTCCGACCCCCACGGGCATAGACTCTTATTTGCATCCTATTTGCATTTAGCTTGCATGTGAGTTGTTTCCCCTTCAATTGACACAATTCCCCACCGCCTTTCTCAGTTATTCTCAGACTCCAGAGTCTTGACCAGCCTCAGATTGTACCCATTCCTCCAGATAATCTAGGGTCCCTCAGTACCTTTCCATCATTCGCCTTCAGCCCTCTACCTACCCCAGCTTCAAAGCAGCGACCCTAAACTAACCTAGCCGGCTGGGTGCGAGGAGCCGAGAGACCTGCGCCGCCTGGCGGCTGGTCAGAGGGAGGCTGAGGGCGAGGGGTTCTGTTTCGCCTTCTCTGGGGACATGGAGTTTTGGAAAATGTTCCCCGGAGCTTCCAGAAGCTAAATTTACCTCCTCCGGCCCTTTGGGGGCAGGAGGGGCGCAGAGATCCCGGCGGCGATTAGCGATGCGCCGCAGCTGGCTCCAGCCTAGAGGCCCGGAATAGGCGCGAAGTTATAAATAGTGCCACCCGCAGGTGTGGGGGGAGTCGGCGGGAGGGGGTAACCCTGGCGGCCACGGCCCCTTCAGGTGGGTTGGGCGGTCGCGGTGAGGCGCTGGGGGGCGGCGGGCGTGGGGGGCCGCTGCGGTCTGAGCGCCCCCAGCGGTTTCCTGGGCGGCGGGTTTTTCGAGGGAAGCAGAGGCAGCGGGGGAGTAGGGGGGAAGAGGTGGGCGCCTGGCTCAGGCTGACACTCCGCTTCCAGAGCAGCCTCCCACATTCCGAAACATCCCCCAGACCCACTTACGCAGGACCCCGCCCAAGCTGAGCCTCGCCTCTCTTGCTGCCAGAAACCCTCACTTCCCCAGGCTCTGCAAGCGTCTAACTTCTCTGCAGCTACCCCTCGGCGCACGTGGCCCAGCCTGTCCCGGCACCTGGCAGCCACTTCGAGTCGCTGTCCCCAGCCCCAGGTTTAGAGACCTCCCAGCTGGGGCTTTCATCTCCCTCTCTTAGGGCAAACACCTCACTCTCCGGTCTCTACACACCTCCTGTTACTGTCCCCAAATATTAAAGTCTAGTTGGTCGCCTGAAGATTTAACTCTGAACGTGCGTATGAGACGCTCCACTATCCCCAGGAGGCCCCTGCAGGCCCTACACTCGCCCTTCAGCTACCAGTTCCAGTCTGGGCCTGGTGGCAGGGGCTAGGGGCTGGGGCGCCAGCAGGCCCCTGGGGCCCCGCAGGGGTTTCATGGGAGGGGACGGGGCCCCCAGTCAGCGCTTCTCAGCCACTGCTGTCTCAGTGGTTTGGCGCTGTAAGAGATCGGAGTTGGGGGGTAGGAGGGAATTTCAAGGTGGGGTTCCCCCTTCCGACTTTTAAGTGGGGAGAAGAGCTATTTGTACCAGAGAGAGAGAGAGAGAAACATGGGAGTGGGGTTACTGAGGAACTAACTGTAGCTTCCAAGACTTTGGGGACTGACGTGGAGAGTGGCAATCCAACTGCAGAATGACCCGGGTTGTGTCCAGCCAGACGCCAGACGCGACCCCGAGATATGGGGGAGTGAGGCGAGAGGAGCCCGAGGCACTAGACGCCAATCGTGTCTCTGCACCCAAGGGCTGGTGCTAGGGCGCCCGCCCTTCTATTGCCTCTGGAGGCCTTGGCTCTGCCCTGCGTTGGCCACGTACCCCACCCCGTTTTCCTCAGCTACGCCCCGTACTCCCTGAAGCAACACCCTCTCCATTTCTCTTGTGCGTCTGGCACTGCCGCCTGCGCCCTGGCACTGCCCTTCCCCACGCCAGCGAGACCCCGACGGCAGGAGAAGGAAGTAACAAACCCTGGCCTGGACCCCACTCGCTCCCGGCCCTCCAGACCAAAATCTGTCCGGCGGGCCGAGAAAAAAACCCGGAGCAGTGACCAGCCTTGGGACCCAAGGGGGACAGAGACTATAGGAAAACCCGGAGCGGATTAAAAGCCGGAGCACCCCATGCCCGCTGCTACCTTCTCCTTCCCATAGACCCCCTAATTCTCCAGTGAGATAATGTCTGGAGTGGGGGGCTGTTTGGTTTGGCCTGAGTCCTCAGGGGCGCCTCACACTTTCCGCCCCTGGCTGGGGCGCAGGGCAGCGGCCCCGAGGCTGAGTCACGGCCGGAGGGAGACAGAGAGAGGGAGAGAGAGGGAGGGAGGGAGGGACCCGGACTCCGCCCCTCCTCCTGCGCTGGGTTCCCGGGTCAGCCCGGGTGAGGGCCAGGGCCCCCTTGGCGCCGCCCATTGTGGTCCAACAGGTTGAGCTGGTGTCCCGCGGAGCCACCTGCTGGAAAGGGAGGGAGGCCCCCTGCGGCGGGGGATGGGGAGGAAAAAGCGAGTCCGACCCGGTTCGGCCTGGCTGGCCGCTGGGGAGCCGAACCTGGCCCGAGGTAGCCGGATTTGATTCCGTTTGACATTAGTGGGAGGAGCCCTTTGGGGTACGTAGCGCCGCAGGCCCAGTTGGAAGCGTCCCTTACAGGCTACCTTTCTCAGATGGTGGGGGCATTGAAGCACTTATCCAGGTCCCTCCCAAACCCACCCATACACACATTCTGAAACACCCAGGGCCACCTCGCCACCTGGGTCTCAGCGACTCCGTGTCAAGACGTCCCTCCTTCCTGGAGACTCAGTTTCTCCACTTAGGAAACAGGCGGAATGGAGGCGGGGAGCAAGAGTGTGAGCGCGCCTCCCCCTCCCTCTTCACGGACCGGGCCCCTCCCCTCTGACAATGCCAAGGCCGCAGCGGGCACCGGCTAGAGCGCAGAGCTGCTTGCCCTGGGAGCCGTTCCCTCCCTGCGGGGCGCCGTCACGCGTGGGGAGGTACGCAGGGTGTCCGCAGGCTCAACTCCCCCACTCCGAGAGGGGGTGGGGCGTAGGGGCCGGAGTTGAAGGTCTGATGGTTCCCCCACCCCCACCTCCCGGGGCCCTGACCTGATTATAGCCCCTCACGGGACCCCCTCCCTCAAGACCCTAAGTCCCCAATTCACCCCCACCCAGCCTATCCTTAACTCTCGTATCCTTCCCTCTTGAGGTCCTGACCCTACACAAGCCCCTCTAGAAGGAGAGAGAGCCCCTGAAGAGGGTGTTCAGTTCCCCCGGCACTGCGGACACTGCCCCCTTCCCCCTTCCCTCCAGGTTTCAGGCCAGCCCCTCGGCTCCGCCCCCTCCCAGGACGAACGCAAGGCGGTACCCACTTGGGATGGGCGGGTGTTCAGGCCAATGGACGAACCGGGCGGTGGAGTGCAGGGGGCGGGGCGGAGCCGCAGCAGAGGGCTGGATGGGGGTCGGGGGTGGAGCTCGAGTTAAGGTGGACTGAGAGAGTTCCAGGCAGGAGAAGAGCGGCAGAGAGGGTGGGGGGAGAGGGACCGCGGCAGGTGAAGGGAGACAGTGCAAGAAAGAAAGAAGGAGGGAAAGGAGGAGGGTGGGAAAGGGTAGGAGAGCTAAGTAAGAGCTTGGAGGAAGGGAGTAAAAAACGGAGGGAGGGACCCATCTGCGCCCTGCGTGGTCTGGCTGGACGAAGGGGTTGAAGTTTATGTCCTTATTGGGCGGAGGGAGGGGGGCCTGGGGGGGGCGGGTGAAAAACCAGGAAGTGACAGAGGGTGTTGCTAAGGGTTAGGGGGGGGAGTTTGGGGGGTGGCGGGGGGAGGGAGGGGAGGGATGGGGGGAAAGCAAGCAGGAGGACAGGTGAGACAGCAGGACAGGTGAGGCGGGCCCTGAGGGGGGGGCGAGTGGGAGCCAGGTGAATGTACGGCTCTCGGCGGCCGAGGGGGGGCGGGCGGCAGGAGGAGGCAGAGGGCGGCGGAGGAGGAGCCCCCCAGCAGCGAGCGGCGAGCGACTGACCGCGGCCTTCTGACCAGGACCGGAGCAGGGCCCCAAGCCCCCGGGCCTGGCGGGGGACGCGCTTCTCCCCACACCCTGTGCTTCAGCAGCTCCAGCCAGCGGACCCGACGGCCGTGAGGTAAGTGTACCCCACTTTTATCTTCTGGCTCGAGGTTCACTAGACTTGAGACTGCTGCAGTGTCCTTCGTCCGTCCTGTAAGTGGGACCCCCACATACACACGCATGCATACCAGATTCCCACCACTCTCCTTCCTTGTGCCTTCCCAACACCTTGGGTCTTTGAAATTGGTTTTAACTGGGAGGAAAGGTAGAGAAGGAACTACGGCTGCCCCCCAACCCTGGGCAGAGGGTCCCCAGAAACTTTCTCTGCACTTTTCCTGGGATCAGACAGGCGGCTCTGGGATGGAGAGGGGATGAGGCGGCGCTGAGTTGTCCCCTAGTCTCCTCCATGACTTTAGGGGGGACCCCAGACCCGACCGAGTTGAGGGAATGGAAACGCTGACGGACTCTAACTAGGACAACGCGCCCCCCCTCCGCGCCCCCTGGCGCGGTGGGTTGGACCCGGGCCAGTTGCATGGGGTTGGGGGGGCACAGGAGGAGCCGCGGCTTGGGGGAAAGTTACCGGCTGGACTATTCGGTTTCTTGCGCTTCCAGAGCCGCGCTTTCTCTCCAGTGGTAGTGGGGCTCAGCGACAACCTCCAAACGCCATAGAACGACCCCTCTCTCCCCTGTCCCTCAATCCCACCCCCTTCCAAGCTCCAGTCCCACCGCCACCTTTTCAAAGCTAGCTCATGCCCCCCAGAACCCGAGAGCAAGAATGGGTGACTAGGAAGAATTCTACCTCCCACCCGGCCCTCTCACCGGCGCCGGCGCACCTGCCCCTAGTCAGAGTGGGGGTCGCTGCTGTGTTGTTGTGGAACCTACAGTGTGCGCCAGGCAGAGGGCTGCCATTCAAAGGGGTGGGGGGCGCTGCTTTCAATTTCCAGCTTTCTCTCCCTCCTCCCACCCCATCCCAAGTAAGAGAGCGACGTGTCCCGGCCAGAGCGAGGGGGGGCCGGGAGTGGGGGGGCGGCGTGGGCAGCGGGTTGTGCCCGGACACGTGCCTGCCCAGGCGCCCCGGCCCTGCTGGTGTTTGGAGAGAGGGCGGGTCCCCTGCCCCCCGCCCCGCACTACCCCCACGTATCAAAGGGCGGCTGAGACGTGGTGAGACCTCGGGGCGCCCTGGGGGGCGGGGGGGCGGGGAGCCTGGGTCCGGAGCAGGGGAGGGGCAGAGGCGCCGGTGCTAGCTGACCCACAGGAAACGAGCGCTGCTGACCTAGTTTGGGACACCGGAAGTGGGTGCTGGGGAGAGGGGGAGACCGGCAGGCTGTCCTGGCTTCCGGGCCAGGTGGAGGGCGTTCTTGAATTGACCCCCGCCCGAATGCCTTGGAGACCCCTAGCTGCAGTAGAGAATGGGAATGAGTCAGCGCAGCTATTCCCCCTTCCCCCAGCTTATTCCTGGAGGAGGCAGACCTTTATCAGGGACCCAGGGGCGGGAAGCCAGATTGGACAGTGAGGGGTTAAACCAGGATGGGAACTCTCTGTTCC